GGAATCTTTCATTTGTCCCATGTATTAAATACAGTACAAGAAAAAACAATTAACCGATTTGTTTCTTAACTCTTGGTTTCCTTGTTAGGCTTCCATGAAAAAGGTTGTGATATTTAAGTGTTTTTTTTTCTCAGTATACCACTCGAATTAAATAAATAACAAAAAAATAGCAAAATGAACCAATGAATGAATTTGCCTCATTGTTTTGATGCAGGTATTCTGGAAAACCACATAAATAGAGAATCCCATGATCAGGAGAGGAGTTGAAAGTGCTAATTTGCTTATTACTTGATTGAAACTGACCCCAACGGCTTGTTTATGCTTTACATAAAAGTAACTAGAGCTTGATGGGAGCTGAGTGTTAAAAAAACAAACACAGCCTCAAAAATGTCTGAATGGGGCTCTAAACCAGTTTGGATTTAAGAATACTATAATTATACAGATTATAATAATATAAAACAACACCAAAAAAATGTATTCCATTCAAACAGTGAAACTTGTATATACATTAGTCCCAGTCTAGCTTTGTAGCCAACGCAACCATGGGAAAGACTGCGGAATTTATAGTTCCCCAAAAGACAACCATAGACACTTTGCACAAAGAGGGCAAGACACAAAATGTCACTGCAAAACAGGCTTCTATTCACAGAGCTGTGTCCAACAACAACACAGATAATGTTAGCGTTATGTATGGGACAGTCACCAAGACCATCGCAGATTGTCCATTGAGGCATTTGCATTTATATAGACAATTTAATCCAAAACGGTCAACATTAGAAGTAATGAAATAATTTGTCAGTTCTTGCTTTGCCTGGGGTTTGAACCCACAACCATGGCACTGCTGCAGCAATGCTCTACGGACTGAGCCACAGGAAAGCTACAATGACATGCACAAAGTTTAGCGGTTCTATTCTTTGTCTCAACAATTCTTGAACAGACAGCATCAGAAAGCAAGGAAGAGTGGACAGGCAAAGAACCAGTGTAATGTTTCCACAGCCAGTGGTTTGGGTTGCCACATCAACTGAGGTTCAAGATCAATGCTACCAGAAAGTTTTAGAGCACTTTATGGAGATGCAGTTTTAACTTTCCAACAGGACCTGCACACTGTGCCAAATCTACCAGAACCTGGTTTAAGGAGCATATTTCACCTGACCTTAACCCCAAAGAAAGTTTCTGGGGTATTGGGAAGAGGAAGATGTGATACGGCCAGATCCAAAAATGGACTCTCATAACAGCGGAGCAGTGCCACAGAGTGATCGACTCATGCTATACCACACCACATTGCTGCTGTAATTTAGGGAAAACGACCTCAATTAAGAACTGAGTGTCGCACGTGCTCATTCTTTTTTCAATTGGCTGATACAGTATTTTCATCCTTTTTTTTAATATCGGCCTTAAGTTATGTTCTGATTTCCTGAGATACTGATTGTGGGATTGGCTGTCCGTTCAAAGAAACACTGTGTGAAATTAATGTACATATCTCACACAGTTTCACTTTTTGAATGGAATTATAAATCTACTTTTTCATGATATTCTAATTCTCAAACAGTTCCTCATGAGCCTCTGGAATTTTGTTTTTAAATTGCTCTCAAAAAAATCCATGCAGTGCCTTTTATTGTTTTAAATCATTTAAACTCTAAAACACGTGTCAAACTCAAGGCCCGCGGGCTAGATGTGTTCCCGCCATGTAATCTAATGCGGCCCGTGAGAGCTTAAAAGTTTTGAGTGTCTAAAAAAAAAACTGAAAACGAATTTCCCACATTTCCCACAATGCCTTTAGCCGCAGCGGTGTTTCCGCATCAATACTCACGAGTGAAACTGCAGAGCTGTCGTTTCTCACACATTGAACGTAAGACTCACGCATTTGAGTGATCTCTGATGCCACACCTCCGATTTCTCAGGCTAAAATAAATTTCAAGATGTGAAATGGACACAGCTAATAATTTATCTGTGATCGGTTTCTTGAGCTGATGATAAAAGATGATGATCGATATGCATCGACTTCAGTTTGTGAGGGTTTTTTTTTTCGCTAAACAAATTACAAAAATGTCTTTTTCTTTATTCACTTGGACAGTTTGATCTTTCATTAACGAAGTTATGTGGGTTTTCATAAGCTGACGAAAATCAAAAGGATTTATATTAGAACAACATGCATACAATTGTTTCTATGAAACTGAATTGTCACTTGAATAAGTTATAAATAATGTGTGATTTAACATTAAGGAGTAGTTACATTTATTTCACATTACATTCGATTACATTATTTCACATTTATAAGTTACATCTGGCCCGTTAAGGACAGCCATTATGCTAATGTGGCCCTCTGTGAAAATGAGTGTGACACCCCTGATCTAAAAGATTAAATTGACAGAAAATGGGTGACACATCATCAACCCATAAATATTGAAATAATTCATATTGGTTTAAATCTTACCTTTCCACCTATCCGGACCTGGGCTTGGAGTTTTGCCAACTTCTCTTGATTCATAATGATTTCTGAAATATTCAGATTAAAAAATTTAACCCAGATATCACCAGCAGATCGACAGTCAAGTCTACAATGAAAAGTTCCATTATACAAATTTACGCCAAAGGCAAGAATTAAATAATCACTCCATCATTAAAACGAGGACTCAGATACAGTTTCAACATTATATCTGTCAAAAAAAATTTAACAATTTTAAATTCTACATTTGTATTCAAGTCACAGCATATTAAGTCACAAAACAATACCATATACAAATAAAATAAAAATGTTAACGAATCATGAAGCATTTCTTTTATGAAGTATATGCATATGCCAAGAGGTTTTTACAAAGACTATGAAAAGTCGGGATAATGTAAAAACTATGTCTGTTTTGTGTCGCTAATAGCATCTTTGACGTGGTATCTGTCCTTCAACCACGACGTGTGGCCAGAATGATGGAGAATAAAGACAAAATCCTGACGGTGCACAATCTATAACGTTAAGAGCATTACTCGAGCAAAAGCAAGGAACAACATTCAAAACGTCACACACACGAGCGACGACGAACCCGTCACAACACATGAGCTGTTCCTATCGTATCAGTCCTTATTTACATTTTAGTGATCACACTGTAAGCACTCGCTACTGACCTGACAAACACAACCGCTCGCAGAAGCATGCGTTGAGTGATCAAAGCGGAAGTGGTCTAACTGAGAGCGAAACGTCGCGATGTTTTGTCCATAGATATATGTACGTAGATAACTCGTGAAACGGTGCTGTCAATTGGACCAATCGTCAGAGCGGCCGCCATATTAAGACTGAGTAACAACGTCTACTTTCTACTGTGGTCAGTGGAGATTAAGGATAACTCATTCATTTGAAACTCATTGAGTTTCAAATTTTTTTATTATAAATGTACAGACATTTACATACTGCTTCTCATAAAGATACTGGAGATAGTTATATGAAAAGAACTGATGATGGTACTAATATTTAATCATTTAAGAATAACATTGCCTACCTTGCACAGATACATACAACGAAAAAATGAAAAAATATCACTTTTTTCATCTTGTTTGTTTTCTTGTCCAGACAGCTCATTAAAAAAAAAAACATCTGTCTTATCCCGTTTTCATATGGCGCCCGCAACGACGTACGCGTCAGACCCTTGTAGGTTATCTAAGTATAATATCTATGTTTAAAAAATATATACATAAAATATATATATTTATATATAAATATATAAAATATATGTTTTTTGTCCATATGGTTTGTTGCCTTGAATCAGTAGCAATACTGCCACACAATGGCTTGATACTGAAGCGCATCAATATTAATATTGTTATTAATATTAATATTAAATTTAACAATAGTAATAAATACATTAATTGTTCTCAACACCTCTGTAATTCCCCTGAATTTGGAGGATGCATCGCCACCATCCTTGGTGGCCTCACATATCCCAAGATGCTTGGCAAATTTTTTATTTCAAATGAATGAATGAACGTTTATGTTGTCAGAATGATGCTAGATCGTCCCATTACCAACAGTTGATGCAACCTTCTGAGGATTCTTAGCTTAGTGAATCTGAAAAGTTTGCTGCTACTCATAATGGAATGGCGAAGCTGAATAAACCAAACTGGACTACCTGAGCGGTTATACGAAATTATTCAGAACCTATCAGTCAATCAGAATCTCTTGTTTGTCTTTGGATGTTTGGAGTTCAAGCAGGGTGGTGGAGGGGGTGGGGGGGCAACTCTCTCTGATCACATTCAGCGTAAGTCAGATTTGCTGAGTTGTTTATATGCCATTCTGATTCTATGATGCCAAAATGAATAATAGAGGAAAGCTGGGAAGAGGGGTTGTGACTGGATTTTAGATCTAGTATCAAAACTTACCCAGTATTGATCGAATACTTGGTGTGGTTCAGAAGGTTCAAGGAGAACATCCAAACTGAGAGTATTCACTTGTTTTATGGATGTTCTTGTGAGCTTTCTGCTTGGGCATGAATTAATTGTGTCTATATGTGCATTATTACATATTTCTCTCCATTAAAGCCCCACTCAATAGCTGACTTATGTAATCTTAGTTCATCTCATATCCTCCTATTGATCAACGCTGACAAAATATTACATGCTAAATTAGATAAGCATTCCGGGTGTGGATATTTCAGATGCAATTGGATGGTATTGATCCCCGAGTTGTGTGTTTGTGTGAATGGGAGGAGAAAGACAGATGAGGAGAGAGAATAATGGTATAGCTCAGTCGGGTCTTTTCTCTCAGCACCTTAATGAAAGTCTGGATATTGCGATTCAAGGTTGAATTCATATGCCTGGAGGACAACGCTCTCTGTGGGCATTTGCAAATGGCATCTGATGGAACAAAATTTTAATGCTGATACCAGCAGCCAGAAAATAACCCTTCACAGCTGGTTTGGGTCCAGTAATTAGAGTTTGTAGGTAAGCAAATAGCTATTACAAATTTTCTGTTAGATCTCATCTATATAATAACTGTTAAAGGCCAATCACTGAAAGTTCAAAGACACCTATTGTTTTTTTTATGTTGGTTTTCTTACTAAGGTGGGACCAAGACTTTGCCTTGCAATTCAATTTGAGTCTCAAGTCAGGACAATGGAATCCAAGTCGAGTGCCAATTCAAGACAGGGCAAGTCTGAATCAGGTCCCAGGTCAAGACAGGGCAAGAGCGAGTCAAGTCCCAAATCGAGAGAGGGCAAGTTAACATAATGTAAAGCAAATTTGACAAATATTTTTATGTCATCAATACATTTCCAGAGATGATCTGAAGTTGGGTGTCATCTGCATAAAGGTGCAAAGTTACGCTATGGCCCCTGATGATATCGCCAATAGGTCTGATCCCAAAAAAGCCCTGCATTTCAATTTCAAGTACTTGGATTTGCAAAGAAACCAGACTAAAATGACTCTTTGATAAAGATTATCTAGGAAACTAGTTTTTCAGGATTTTTGATGAGAAGTGGAGCTTGGGGATAGGTCAAAGATTTTGAGACAAGTGTCAAAGCCTGTTTCATTTGTACATTGGATTACTGCATTTTAGAAACTTTGCCTTAATGAAAGAGGGACTTACTGTAGAGCCTAAGGTAGATAAAAGACTTGAGTGGTGTATAGGTGAGTTCATTGATACCAGGGAAACATTTGTAGAGAGTAAAATATAGACACAAAGTAGAGATGGAGGGGCGATTGAGTGGGGAAGAATTGGTGTATGCTTCTTTGTGGAGGTGTTGTGGGGGATATTTGAAGATCTGGTGGGATATGGGTTAATTACTGGTGATTTATTTATAGAAACACAAAATGTTAGTTAACAAGTAGACTAAGTGACTACTCGTAGACAAAGAATTCAAATATGGAATGGAGCATAGCTGGTGGTGTTGGCATA